TGAAGTTAACAGATTTCACTACAATTGCCGTGTCATCCGCATAACAGGCCAGGATGGAGTTTGAAGAGTTGATTTTGGAAAATCTGTGGTATAGAAGATATACATAACGGAACCTAAAACACTGCCTTATGGAATGCCCCTTTTGATTTTTTTTTTTCACTGGAAAAAAAAAAAAAAAAAAAAAAAAGACTTTAAAAGCTCTGTGTGTGATGAAAGAGTAAAGAATGTGGAGGAGTTCAGGTTCAAAGTTGAAACTCATAAGCCTAATAATTATTCCCTCATGCCAGATGCGGTCGAAGGCTTTCGCCACGTCTAACATGAGGATAGCCACATTTAATCTGTTATGCAGAGCCGAGCCTGCGAATTCCGTGATATGAACCAATTGCTTCTTAGTAGATAGTTTTACTTCTGAAGCCGAATTGCTCCGGACAATCTTTGCAGTCTTCCAAGCAGCAGTTTGTCAGTGCTGCGTTGAAAATATTAGTAATTCTGCATCTAAAGTTGACTGGGAGTAACTATGGATGAGAGGATGGATTTGTTCGTTATCCCGCCAATTCCTGGGTTTGAGCTTCTTAATAATGGTAGATACTTCCGCCAGAGTGGTGAGTGGGATCAGATTTTTAACAGTAGGGGAGTTAATGCATTCTTGAATTTTGATGAGAGTAGCCTGTTCAAAATTTGAGTCACAGGGTGTTAAGTTAGAAAAGAATTGCTCTCCAGATGTGAGGCGAAAGAATCGGCTTTTTCCTGGTTCGTAAAAGCTGGGTTCCCATTATGAATGATAGGTCTATTTGTAACGTAAGAATTTTTAAAATTTTTAACTATTTTCCATAGTGAACAGTCCTGTGCATTAAGATTGGCGAGTTTTTCAAATATTTCAAAGGAAAAAATACATTTAAACATTTAAAATTATTTTAGAAAATACAATGTATAATGTTGAGTCTAGCTCGAGAAAGGAGTTGATGTAAGAAATACAATGTCGAGTCACACTTGATGTAGGAGTCCTAAGGGTTAAGAAGACAGTGAAGATTGGTAATCGATTAGATACTCAATTTGTTTTCCACATGAACTGAGGTAACTGGTGCCTCAATAGATTGGGATCAATAAAATCAATATCAAAAGCACAGGCAGTTGCTGAGTAAGGCATTATTAATGACGCATTCACTTGGAGATAAATACTCCATTTGCTGTCTGTATCTATCTGCATCGCGATAACCAGGAGGAAACATGATCTCGGGGAAAAAATATTAGATAGATGGCCATTTGATGTAAGAAACGCATGTTCGTTACCTTCTCCCAACTGCTGAGAATCTTTACAGCTTAATAGTTCATTTCTGTTTCAATACAATTTCTAAAGTGCAAAATGAATGTTGACGAAGTGTGTGATGTCAGCAAAACAAAAGATGGAGAACCCTTTTTGTAAAAACCCGCAGGACTAAGGAATCATCAGAATTAAATAAATATTATCTACTGTGATGCAAATAAATGATGGCATTCACAGAGCAAAACCAACACACACACACACACACACAAAAAAAAAAAAAAAAAAAAAAAAAAAAGATAAGTAGTATTTAGTGAAATCACCACGCAAGAGCTCACTGTGGCACTGAATCAAAAAGCGTCTGAAGGTGTACATGAGCAGCACACAATTTACACCACAGCACATGCTGGCAGACTATTTAAGTTGATAATGACTCACCTGTAGCAGTGCTCAAACATTTTATTAATTGTTGAGATGAAGCTGCAAGATCCATCATTCTCCTGCAGATGAGATATATCATCTTGCGCTGTCATTAATATTTCATGGTTTATTTTCAAGTTTATGATGGTCTGGCTCTGCTAAGTCCAACAAAACACGCATCATTGACAAGGCATTCTGCTTTACTGAAGCTGCGACTTTTTGATAGGCATATTGTCCTTCTTTCTGCCCGATCATTTGTTTATGTTCAGATGGCATAACTTGCAGAGTTTTGTGGCAGCGACTCATCATTAAAGTAAAAAAAAAGGAGCCAAGCATTTTTTTTTTTCCCTGAAGAAAAGCAACTTGTGTCTGATCGCTGTCAAAAAGAACAGTTTTACTCAAAACCTACTCCAAAACAATGATGTAAAATTTTAAATTTTACACTGGCTTCTCTTTTTCCCGCCTGATTATAAACCAAACTTATATGTTTGGAACCAGGACCCACTTTTTTCCACCTGAACGAAAGTGAAGAGGAACAATCTAAAGCTGTGTTTCTTAAACACTTTTAAAGTGGAGACCACTTTTATTAATCTGAATATTCTGGGTACCACCTTACTCTTCTTCCTGAAAGGCTTTTTTTTTTAAGCATATGTTACTACTAGTACACTTAAATTTTTAAAAACAGTTAATTAAAAGCCATTTATGTTCTACATTGATATGAGATATTAACAGAACACTTTTATTAGGTTTAAATAATTCAAGGTCATTACAGCTTGGATAATCTTTGTCTTATTAGATAAAAATAAAAATACATTTTGGTAATTATATGGTGGATGAGCATGCCGATTTTTGAATTGCTGTTCTATGTTAGTAAGAAGCATGAAAGCGCTTTAAATTACTTTTGCTGCTAAGACTAGAGTCAGAAGTCTCAGGAGAAAAAGAGATAGATGAGTGCCATGTGTAATTTCTGAGATTTTCAGCGATAATGTGGTTATACACAGTTAATTTGAATTTTTTTTGGCATCTTTTGGAAAACCACAGTCTAAGAAATGGTGGTCTAAGGAATTCTCACTACAAACATAAATTTTAAGTTACAGAATATATAATTAATACAATTTTTAATTAATTCAATGATCATATACACTGCGGATAAAAAGGGGGGCAGTTCTATATCTCCCGTTCTACTGGCCTGATTGACGAAATTCAATTTGCGGTTTTCATGGCTCAAAAGCGCGACTTACAGTATGTATTAGATTTATGTATAGCACTGTACTAACAGGTACTAGGTATTTTGACAAAAATCGGACATTTTCTGAAATGACACTCCAATTTTCTTTCATATTTTGATTCTACGACTCAAATTATGCTAAACTGCCAAGTTTTGTAAAAATAGAAAGATTGGTTTTTCAAAAACTAGCTCTTCAACGTTAATTGAATTTGATATTTATTTATTAATATCTCTATTTTATTAAACTTACTCGATTTCTTCTAACAGAATTCGAAATTTAGGCTTAAATATAATTCATGCATTTTTTTACGATTTATTTTTAAAATTTGTATTTTTAAATATTTTTTATACTTTTCAAAAGCATTTTGTATTATAAACTATAAAGTTTTTAGCATCATCTTAAAGTAGATGTATTTCTAAGCATACCTGCAAAAAAATTAGAAGTCCTATTCAAAATTTTCTAAAGTATACATGAATTTACATATTGGAGGGTTTTGAAATTTGCCATTTTTTTTTTTTGAGAGATAATAATGCCAAACGATAATATGCACCTTGTTAAAATTATTTGAAAGTACGAACGAGGACTTTTTTTTTCCGCTCATCTACAATGCAAAAAAGAAAAGGAAAATAAGTTGCTATGAATTAAGAAGTTCACCAAGTGAATTATTCTTGGTTCAAACTGAAAAATATATGCCAAGATACATTTTTGAATTTCCCTGTAAATTTCACACCAAATTTTACAAAAATTTTATATACACTGAAGTGACAAAAGTCATGGGATTCCTCCTAATATTTTGTCGGTCCTCCTTTTGAGGGGAAGTGCAGCAACGCGATGTGGCATGGACTCAACAAGTCGTTGGAAGTCCCATGCAGGAATATTGAGCCATGCTGCCTCTACAGACATCCATAATTGTGAAAGTCTTGACGGTGCAGGGATTTGGGCACGAACTGACCTCTCGATGATGTCCCATAAATGTTCGATGGGATTCATGTCAGGCGAACTAGGTGGCCAGATCATTCGCTGGAATTGTCCAGAATGTTCTTCTAACCAATCGCGAACAATTGTGGCCTGGTGACACGGCGCATTGTCATCCATAAAAATCCCATTGTTGTTTGAGTACGAGAAGTCCATGAATGGCTGTAAGTGATCTCCATGTAGCTGAAGGTATCCATTTCCCGTCAATGATCGTTTCAGTTGCACCAGAGGACCGAGTCCATGCCATGTAAAAACAGCCCAGACCATTATGGAACCACCACCAGCTTGAACAGTGCCTTGTTGACAACTTGGGTCCATGGCTTCGTGGGGTCTGTGACACACTCGAACCCTACCAATCAGCTCTTACCAACTAAAATCGTAACTCATCTGACCAAGCCACGGTTTTCCATTCGTTTAGGGACCATTTCCCTAATGATATCCGAAATGGAAGGACCCATGTGTCTAGCTCCAACTACCATTCCGCGTTCAAAGTCTGTTAATTCTCGTCGTGCGGCCATAATCACGTCAAAGCCTCTTCACATGAATAACTTGAACAAAAATGAAAGCCCTGTGAAAGCACTTCGCATTTATACATTTTCTACGTGATACTACTGCCATCTGTATACTTGCATATTGCTATCCCATGACTTTTGTCACTTCAGTGTATAGGCATAATCTGAGTCATAGAATAGAAATATGGAAAACATTGGCATGTCATTTCAGAAAAAAGTCCAATTTAGTGTGAAAACACCTATATTAGAACAATGCTACATAAATTTAATATCCTAAATCGCGCTTTAGAGACATGCAAAATGCAATTTATATTTCATCAATTGGCCCAGTAGAACGGGAGATGTATAACTGTCCCATCTGCTTTTTCGCAGTGTACATAAATGAAACACAAAACTAAAAAATTCAGTCTCTTTCAAATATGGAAGAAATTATTTTTCTGATGGGCAAATCCATAGTACAGCCAGTACCTTAAATAGCCTCAGTTTAAAAATATCAAACCAAGCTATATTTTAACTGAGTAAAACGAAAAAATTTGTATGCAAAATTATTTTTTAATCATGAATAATTTATTGTTTTTTCTTTTCATATGGTTTTATTAACAGGTGAACAATGCGCTTATGAAGAACAGGAAGACAACTTAGAAGATGACCATATTGGAAAGCTTGCACAGTTGAACAACTGTAAAAAATTACTAGAATGGATGAAACCTTGTCAGAGTATATTACATAAATTGATCCAAACATTGCATGCATCCTAATAATTCACCAAATGATAAACAATGCAATTCCTAGTTATGAAGAAATATACAAAAAAAAAAAATAGAAAAATATGCAGACATCGAAACTGTAATTTTTAGAAAATAAGAAATTAATTTAAAAAAAAACTATTTCTAATAAAGACATCTGGACTTAATAACCACATTTTATTTATTGGAAAATAGTGACATTTTTATCAATTTCTGTAGGAATTTTATTTTTCGATTAGCGAGGATCATTGGTGGAATTGATTACCTAGAATATGTGAATAGTCTGAATATATCTCCTATCCTTCTTAAAAATTATCTTGGAAATTTTTAAAAAAGTTTTTGCTCATAACAAATCTCTGTAATTTTATATTAAAAGGATTGAACTTTTTCATACTTTATTTCTTAGTACTTAAATAATAATTAATTCTAAAAAAAATATTTCAGCAAGTTGAATATTATACCAGAAGAATTTCAGTCTAAAAAAGGGATTTAATACAAACAATTTTCCATTCTCTGTTATAACTGCAATAGTTTGATTTTATTTCACACATTATTTAATATAAAAACCCCTATCAGCGAAAAGTTTAACGAAAAAATCAATATCTTAATAAAACTTTACATAAAATGCTGAGCTTTGGTAAATGGCACATTTAAAACAATACGAGATCAGACATGTAATTATTTACTATTGTTGCAAATTAGAACCAAAAAGAATTTTTGTAAGCTATATTAGACGATGGTATTTTTTATACATGGTGTTCTACACACCCATATACAGAAAGTGGGAGGTTTAGTTTTAATATCATGTTGAATAACAATCAAAAACAAAGTCCAACATTAAGAATTTGTGTAAATTAAAAAAATTTTTTTGCGGTACTAGTTTCGATAGTTTTTGAACTACTTTCTTCAGCTGCTAAGTGCAAATGAACCAAATAAAGTGTGAAGAAAGATAAGATAAGGATAGAGATAAGATAAGTTGGACAGATGTTAAGCTACGGGCACCATCTACTGATGAAACAAGGAAAACTAAAACAAATTTTCTTTAAAGGCTGAAGGTAAAGATGGATTGCAGTTGAGGTCATTAACTAGAACAGAAATGTTATGCTTCTAAAAAATCTAATTCACCAATGGAGGACGTTTTTTGAATAATTTTGGCTGCAGAAAAATGGAAAGTGTGATTTTCACTCCAACAATGCTGAGCAACAGCAGATTTCTGAGTTTCCTTTTCCCTAACATATGCCTCATGTTCTTTAACACGAAATTTTAGAGCTCTTTTTATTTGATCAATGTAAATTAAACCATGTTGGCAAGGAATACTGTAAATACGACAGGAATTCATATCCAAAATGGAGTCCTTAAGCATGAAACTAGGAATTTTATTGATAGAAGAGAAAACAATCCAAAAGTTAAATTTCTGCAAAATACGTGCAATTTTACATCTAATTGACGGAAAGAAAGGAACGACAACAGAATTCCTATAACCACCTAAAACAGGATTGTACCTTTTGATGTGCTCCGATGAGAATTTTTTAACTGCATGGCTAATAATGTTGGATGAAAAACCTCTGTTCAATAGCTACTGCTTTTAAATAATTTAGTTCCTGGGGTATTTATAATATATGAAGTGTGCAAGTAACATAAACACACTTCAATTATCATTAGCAAAAAATATCATTTTTTAAAAATTTATTATTTAACCAAACTCGGTGGCACAACAGCCCTAGTGAGCCATGGCCTGCGGTATCCCGATATCTGCTTTCCAGACTGTGGGCCTCAGGGTGAATGAGCATATGCCCTGGACAAGTGGTTGCAGGATCTCTGGCGTTTACTCCCCAAGCAAACTTATTACTCATTTTATCCACCCACTAAACAGATGAAAAGCTGACCCAACCTTGCCCAGCCTGGGATCGAAACCCGGACTTGTGGTGTTGCTGTTTAAGGCACTAACCACTGTGCCACCGACCTTAAATTTATAATTTAGCTTAGCTTTTATTTTGAAGAGTTTGAAAAAAATCTGGCAAAAGCTAGGAAAAATATTTTAAGATTTCAGTGATCAACAATTGGCAACAAAAAATAATGAAAAATTCATAGTATATTTTGATTCTGTTCCCAAAAATTTACCTTCATTTGCACTATCATATTCATGGTTCCAGGTACCTGCAGTTCCATTTGCTGAGTTCACTGAAATGTAAAAACAATGATTTCCATGGGATAATACAATATGAATGCTCACCATACGGATATTCTTCATACGTGATAGACATTTTGGGAAGAAAACATTTATCATGTTAAGGCAGACAGGCTTCTTACTACCTTAAGATGGATTCTTCTATTTTTTTTTTTTTTATTATTCCTTACATTCAAAATGTAAATGAAAAGGACTAAATTTGAGAAGATGTTACACGAATGTGAAGATTTAAAAATACAAACTGCCAAAAGGGCTTTACAGAAATCCTTCCAATAACAGACAGACTGCTGAAGTGCAAGCACTTGCAAAAGAATCTATTCTGAAAATGATTAGGATTCCATATCTCCAAATAAGGGTTTTCCCAGCCAAAAATTAGTTAAGTTTTGAATAGAACTAGTATCGACCAAAATACACATAGAATTTCTATTGGAACAGTGTTTTTCATGGTTTTGCTTAAGACGTCAAAGTATACTTGGTTATCTGCAACAGCAGATTCTGGTTGGGTAAAAAAGGCTATTCTGCATTTTTGTACAGTTAATTATAAACATTAGTTTTGTAGAACTGTTATAAATCTATGCCTTTGAACGAGCTTTTAGTTTAACTCTTGGGATGCAAAATAACTAAAACATGCACACACACAATGTAAAATTTTATATAAATTATGCTAATTTTTTATCGATTAATTTTCAAAACTAAGGTACACTTACACGAAAAAAAATTTACATCCTCTAAAATATTTTATTACATTTATAGTTAATATATAATATTCCTATCAATTTCTAGATTAGAATTTACAGTTTTATTGTGAAAACTCAGACCTCAGATACTTGCCAAATAAAACTAACAAAAGTGACCTCGTGTACTGTATATCACAATTTTATATTAATGAAAACTACATACATTTATTATAATGCCTGTAAATTATTTTCATTAAAGAAATCTAAAACTTCCAAATCAACTTAAACAGCTGTTTATTTACAGAAGAAGGCACATAATTAACGTTAAATGTTTTTATGACTGCAATTACTTTGAATAAAAATAAATTAAGGGAAATGACATAATAAGTGTTACCTTAAACAAATTTGACTCAACAAGTGTTTAGGTAGATATCTGCCAAAGTTTAAGAACTACTATGACTACTAAGACTGAACTACAAAATCATAAAATATATAGGATTCAGATTTTCATTTTGATGTAAAAAATCACATAATCACAATTACAAAGAAGAAGCTGGGCTCAAATTTTAATAACGTTTTAGAAAAATGAAGATGCTTAATGTATAACATTTTGAAATATCAAAAATTTGTTTAAGATTATGACTGACATTTATTACTCTATGTACACTTAGTAATAAAAAAAAATGGTTTAGGATGAACAGGAATGATAAATGTAAATGTTTTATTTTAATACATTAATATTTACAGATAATGACTGAACTCTTTACACAATAATTACAGTAACAAAATTAAAGCATAGAGGCACATTATTTTGGATGAATATTGATGCTTAAAAAATTACACATTGAATACAGAAAATTTTATTTTCAAATCAAAAGCAATCAGCAATGAAAGATAATATTATGCAGTGATAACAATATAAAAAATAAGCCTTTTTTTAAAGTTTTTCAATGCAACAGACAATGAGTATATTTACAAATATGAGAAAAACTAAGGCAGATAGAAAGGGGGGACTAAAAAAAAACTGAACTAAATTTATATATATATAGAGAGAAAGAGATAAAAAGGGGAAGTACTTTTATGAGCTCAGTTAAGAAAATAAAAAACACTCATAAAAGACATGATCTCTAATTTGAAATAACAAGGCATAGCTCATTTATTTTAAATAAATAACGTTCATCAAGTTTAAAAACAGTAAAAGAACATTATATGATACTGAAGCTAACCAACTTGATGGCCCACATAATCATTTACAGAAAATCTTAAAATATGTATGAATAAATATTTTTGTTTTCAATAATAGTTACCTTTTTAGTGTGGGGGTTGGAAGATGGAGAACTTGAATAAGTTTAATTCTAATAATATACATTTTGTATTTGCTCCTCCTTATATTTACTAAAATAGAACACTAACTTCCTGCAGCAAATCCGAGTCACCGTTTATATGTTACTGTACAGATCTCTTTAAAAATGTTTAGTATAAAGCTTTCATTTTATCCAGTTTCATATTTCTCATATGACATACTTCGATTATCTTCACACAATTCACAAAAAGAAATTATTATAATTGCATAAAGAAAGTAAATCACATTTAGACATTAAAGGGGGGGACCCACTTTTTGTGTAACACAGAAATGGAAATCTGAAGTTAAACCCTACTATGTACTGTATTTTATGCACAACTTATATAATGAAGTCACTGTAATTTTTTGTTTTTATTTGTTTGAATGCAAGTCTTGGATGGAAATAGGTCAAATGACGTAAAACATGAAAATCATGGAATACGTCCATGAAATGAAGATTTTTATTAACTAGCTTCAACGTCACATGATTCTGGCAAAGGACTATCACGATTATCTGTTGTTGTCACACGACAATCAGGACTACTTGCTTCTCGTGAATCTGATTTTTCACTGGAGTTCTTCTGTTCACCTAATCTATACAATATCTAAAAATTATTTAAGAAAGATTAATGTTAACCACAATTAAAACAAATTTTATTTTCAAAAAAATTCTTTCAAATAATCTAACAAAATATATCTTAAAAAAACTTACAGATCTCAATGTTGATTTGATAAACTCCTTTCTGTAACTCAAGTCAAATTTAGGGTACATACTGTAAATCTGAAATTAATATACACAAAAAGAATTAAAAAGTATTCAGGTACAAGCTTTACATAAAAATACCCTAGATGTAAAAAGCTGAAAAGTTATTTGTATTTATTACATAAATTTAACAAACTCAATTACAAACAATTCACTTAAGAGATTTGCTATGTTCTTTATTATTTTGCAATAAAAATCGTAGAAATAATGGAAAATTATATACAACATAAGCCATGTCTTTCCATACTCAGTACAGAAAACCATACAATTTCATAGCTGAAAATGCTTATTATAGGAATTGCAAATTTTTTAAAAAGACCACAACTCCCCACCCAAAACGTTCTGACACATTTCATTCAGGAGTTAACAAATACACAAGGACTAAAATAGGGATTAAAATGTAATCTGTATGTGGATCGCACATAAATAAGAAATTTCCCGGGAGAAAATATGTTTCTGGGAATCAAATCAGGTTACTATGTCTTTCCATATCCAAGTCGAAAAATTTTACCAAACGTTTTCTACTTTAGGGGTCAGCTTATATACAAGTTCAAAATGATTTACAAATAATTTTATAAAAATGCTAATATAGATTAAATAATTAAAATAATCTTAATATGTGTATCTAATTTCAAATTTTTTGCCTTTTCTTGGAAGTTTTCCTCAGTTAATGTCATCACCCTCCTATTAATCATTAATGTTGTTACAAAACTGCTCACATTAATATCAGCTTTAATTCCATCTATAGCACTGCTCAGTAGTCAGGCTATCTTTTACAATTATAGCAGAAATTTAAAAAAAAAAAAAAAAAAAATTTAAAAAGAAAGAACACACTTCAAAATGGTCACCACAAATGAAATTTAAAATAAAATTTGTCACTTACTGCCAATGCACAGGTCTGAAAGATTGGAATATCGAGAACACCACATGCTACAGTATTTTCATCCACATTTTTTGAAAGAAACAGATTATATATATTGAATTAACAGGTTGATTTTAAATTTTGCCTGTACACAAGTTTTTAATTTTGGAAAAATGTTTACAGCAAAGTCTTATTTCTTGGCTTGAATTTTAAAATACATAGTAACTCATAACTTTACAGAGTAATCCATTATTAATAACATGTATCTGATAAAAATAAGAATAATCATATAACTGCTCATATGAGGTAAAACAATACACATTCTAGTAATAATAATACCAAGTAGAATAAACTATTTCCTTTAATTTAAGTAATGATGAAAAAAAAAATCTTATTCCATCCCGCCCAAACAAATTAAAAGACAATCTAATGAACAGTTACATCAATACCTTATATTGGAAAGGGTATTCTGAACCATGTATGTAATCAAAATTATACAAATGATTGCAGAAAATTAAGATTTGATTCTCTTGCTAGAGGACTGGAGCTTACAACTGCTATCTAATTTTTTAATTACACATTGCTTTCAGTTGTTGCTCTTCAAAACTGCAACAGAATTTTTCATACATTTATTTGTTCAGCTTTTCTACAGTTTTCCTTATAACTTCCTATCCTGCCAACATGACACAGTCTCCCAATAAGTACACTTTACTTCAGTTTTTCTTTCTTTCCACTGACAGCAAGGCAGCCGATCCACTGGGGCAATTAGCATATCAGCCAAGTAGCCCTGCTGAAGGAATTCACTTGGTCCATATAAGAAATTTTGGTGCTTATTGTGCTCAAGACGAGTGCTGAGAGAGTCAGTGGTGCAGTGATGGAAGAAGGGTGCATTGCAGGTGAGGCGAATAATTTCAGTTTCACATTTACAGTTATAGATAGATGGTTACAACTTAAGTGCTGTCAAAGGCATCTGCAACGTGAACAGTAAATGAGTACTGTGAATAGTTATAATCAGCTGAATAGTGCATTAATTATGAATATGAATAATTAACTGACAGACTGCTAAAAAAGTAAAAATAATACATTAAATTAGGCAAATACATAATTCAAGGAAGTAAGTATAAATAGAAAAGATCAATAAAGCTAACCTAAAATAAAATAAATTAACCACAAGTACAGAACATATGGGGGCTGTGCTAGTGACGAGGTTGGCAGCTGAAAATCACTCCAGCCTGTCTGAGATATTATGTGCAATATTAACGCAATCGCATTTTCAAAGAATAGTGATATTTTTAAGTAACTTTAGCCCATGCATGGATATGGTCCGCAGCTGTCTGTCTAAGATGATGTTCTGCAGTCTCTCTGCAAACGAACACGTAGTGCTACGGAGATCTGCCATCCCACGTGAGCACTGGTCGTTTTCCTGTAGTCTGAAGCAATGCAGGTAAGTCATGAAGGAACCATGCCCTGTTAAAAACCGGGTAAAGTGAGGCGATCTACTTCTAGAAGGTGACAGACTTTTGGAAAAAATCTGTAGACTCTTCTGCCAGTAGTCTCCGTCTCCCACAGATTTTGCCCAACGCTTCAGTAATTTCTTCAAAGTATATCCATTTACTCAATAAATTTAACTGAATAATGGAAGAGTCAGTTTATTTTTCAATTTAAAATAAGACATACCTCTATTTTTTGGCAAAAGAATTTAAAAAAATTGAAAACATCCAACACTGTTACATTTTAAAATGATGTAGAAAAATGGAGAAATAGAGGATTACACCTACCTTTTGAATAACTCCATTAATTGTTATATCCTGAAGATCTGTCTGCTCAACAATATCACAAATATGCTTCTTTAAAACACTGTCCTGTATAATAAAATAACTGTAAGAAAACTTAATAACAATATTAAAGCATTCATAATACTTGTGCATATGAGCCTGTATACAGTACCAGCTGCTAATCGTATTCACTGGTTAATAAAATCAGCTACTTATTACACTGAAATTTTCAAGAACCAAAACAAATACATTCTAAACAAAATAAAAAAAAACATTTATTAACCCTCTGGAGGTTCTGAGAAAGATAAGGCATTGTTTTCTAAAGCATCACCAGCTTTGTCAACAAAAACTTTTGAAAAGCGCGGAACCTTTCTTTCACAGAATGCACGAAAAGCGTTAAGTAGTTTTTTTTTTATCCCCCCACACCTGCGGAGAATAATCAAGTGGACTGATTAGAGTCAGCTGTAAAAATATCAATCACTGTCAAAACTTTGCCCTTTGGTAGTTTCCAAGAAGGTACTATATATTAGCGTTTGTGATTCGACTTGTAACAGTAAGTTGGGATTTATGTTACAAAATCTAAATTTTGTGAAAAACTGCAAATCAAGACATTAAAAGAAAATTGTTATAAATGTTTAATTTTTTTTTTCATAAACCTGCATGTATATGTGTGTGTACATGTTTATATATATATGTGGCGTTCCGACAGATACTTCAACTTCTATTCATGAGATGGCGCCACGTGTAAAATCCAGTTCTTAATCGGAGCAGCAAAGCGACATCTTTACTCACTCAGACTTCTCGTCGGACAAGTGTACGCGACGCTAGCACGAACTGTGTTCCGAGCTCTGTGTTGATCTCTGCAATGTAATTTAAATTGTAATTTAGTATTTAATTATATTCTTTGTTATAGGAGATTGTCTACTCTATTTTTTAATTATATCATGCATATTAAGCACACCACCACCAAAAGTGGTGACCTTTTGACTGAGCACGCTACTGACAATGGATTTTCAACGACCCTAAGCCACGTGCATCCAAGACATTCTGAAGAACTGACTAAAAATAACAACGAATATGGACATTAAACGTATGCTACAACGTACCCCTTCAATTATTTCTAGAAGTATTGATATATATTGTTTGTGTTTTTTTCAAAGTCGTGCATATCATCGCAAGGAGCTTCAGCAAATCATCAATGTGATCTGTTCCGTTCCGTTGACTTCGCCAGTCGTGCAATAATTCTTCGATCATTCAACTTTTGTGACAAATGTAATACAATAGTGATTTTCGCTAAATGTGCTACATCAGTAATTTTCTCGCAACGTGCTACGGCAAAATTCTTCCTCAGTGTTCGAAAGTAGTGAATTTCTTTCCCACGTGCTACAGGAGTGATTTCCTTTTTCCTTCGAAAGTGCCTAAGCAGTGTGAAGTGGTGATTTTGTGTGTGCGCAATACAAAATGAACGCATCATTTTTTTCCTTAAATAAGGGTTTCTTTTCAAATGCATTTCGGTAAAATATTATTTGTGTGTGTAATTGCTGACCCTGTATTATTTGTGTGTGTATCATTACGTAAATTTTTTATGCATGGTTAAAATATTTATTGTTATTATGGTAAAATATCAATAGTGTATCTTCATGCTACAATATTTGTCCTGTTAAGTGTTTATTATTTAAAGTGAAAATTATCTATCAGTATGCCCGACGATATTCCACTGAGCCACAAATCACACGCGTTGCGGTGAAGCCACCGCCTTTCTGGAAAAATAATCCTTCATTGTGGTTCGCTCAGATCGAAGCACAATTTTCTATCGCTCGCATTAGTGAGGATTCTACAAAATTCAACCACGTAGTTGCAGTAATCGAGTCCGATATTCTGAATTCAGTGCATGACTTAATACTTAAACCACCTGACTAGTGACAAATACTTCCAAACTGAAACAGCAGCTCATTGAAATCTAATCAGAAAGTGAATCTTCAAAAATACTTTACTTTACTGTAAGGACTTGAACATGGTGATCAGCGACCCTCATACTTGCTGTACATGAATGTGTGATCTGGCAGGAAGCCATTTCAGTGATGACTTGTTGAAGTCACTATGGCTTTCATACAAATAATAACCCTAATAACATACAAATAATTCTTGCTGCTTCCAATGAAGATCTAAACCCGTTTAGCAGCAATGGCTGACAAAATTAATGCAACTTGTTACTCCAGCTTATGTCAGTGGCTGCTAATGCTGCACCTTCCAAGTTCATCCCTCGGAACAAAAAGTGGCTGAATTGACCAAAGAAAGTGTCTGAACTCTCTACAAGTCTTGATGCTTCACGGCAGATACAGTCGATCAAATCAGGGCCCATGTAATAAATTTCGTGCTCCAAGCAGGAATCGATCTCGTCACAATGCTCGAACGCAGTATACAAAGATCCTGCAAGTGGCATATGTTTTTATCCATATGAATTTTTGGTGCTCAAGGCTTGCAAGTGTGCCCCTCTATGCACTTTTGTAACAAGCTGGGAAACTAAGTGGGCGGTCTTCTGCTGGCCAACAGAATGTCCGCCACATTGACAGAATAGTACTGATCTGATCCGTTCAACTCAGTTATGTTTTCTGGTAGGACACTGGAGCAGACATATCAGCGCAAATGATCGAGAACTAAAACAAATGCTCACCAACTTAATAAACTTGTACTGTATACAGCCAAATGGTACCCAGATTGCAACCTTACGGCACCAAACTATTGACACTTGATTTAAACTTGGCGCACTGGACCTTTCAAAGATGGAGTTTTGATTTATTGCGGAAGGTAACTCAAGTCTAATTATTGGTGGTCGACTTCTTGACACATTTCCACCTTCTAGTGGATGTCAAGCATAATTGCTTAATTGATGCTACAACTCAGCTGACATCACAGGGCCAAGCTTCTCACATATCAAACGTACCTACCAACATAAGTGTTTATCGGGCAGCACACGGTTTTCATCGGTTATTAGCAGAATTCCCTGACATTTTAAACCCATCCAAATCAGGGCAGCATACTCATCAGCCAGAAGTGTATCATCACATTGAAACACATGGCCCACCTGTATTTCCAAGCCTCGTCGTCTTTCTCCAGAGATGCTAAAAGCTGCTCGCAAAAGAATTTGAATTCATGCTAGCACAGGGAACCATTCGCCCATCTAAAAGTCCATGGCCAGTCCACTTCACATGGTTAAAAAGTCTAATGGGAATGGCGGCCTTGTGGAGATTATCGTCGACTTAATGCCGTCACAGTCCCTGACAGATATCCAGTCCCACATATCCAAGACTGTACCCATCTTTTTCATGGAACAAACATATTTTCTACCCTCGATCTTGCCAGAGCATATCATCAGATCCCAGTGCATGCTGAAGATGTGCCCAAGACCGCAGTGACTACACCATTTGGCCTCTTTGAGTACTTATATATGCCATTTGGCCTTCGCAATGCTGGCTTAACATTTCAGCGTTTCATACACCAAGTACTGTCTGGTCTCGATTTCTGCATCCCATATTTTGATGATATCCTGGTTGCATCTACAGATGCGGAAGAACATTTTCAACATCTGCGTCAGATTTTCACTCGCCTTAAAGATCATGGATTAAAACTAAATCCATCCAAATGTGTACTTGGTCAACCCTCAGTTTCCTTCTTGGATGTCTTATCACCCAGAACGGAGTTAAACCTTTACCGGAAAGAGTCAAAGCAATTAACGACCTACCTCAGCCCAAAACCATCTCTGAACTGAAGCGTTTTCTAGCAATGTTAAATTTCTACCGACGCTTTCTGCCAAATGCCGCAAAAACACAAGCCTGCCTACATGAGTTTCTGAAGAATAGCAAAAAACAACGACCAACGAGCTGTCCCTTGGACTGAATCTGCATCTGCAGCATTTGTGCAATGCAAACACGATCTGGCAAATGCAGCCACACTTTCTTATCACTCACCTAGTGATCAGCTCTCTATTATGGTAGATGCATCTGACACGGCCATAGGAGCAGTGCTTCAAGCCCATACCACTAAAGGACTTTGCCCAATGGCATTCTTTTCCAGAAAACTTACTACTGCAGAAAGGAAATACAGCACATATAGACAGAGAGCTACTTGCTTGTGTGTACTGTGCGTTTTAAATACTTCCGGCACAACTTGGAAGGACACGATTTCATCATTTTCACCGATCATCGACCATTAACCTTCGCTTTTAGAAAAAACTCTGACTCGTTCTCCTCGTCAGCTTCGACATCTGGATTTCATCGCCCAGTTTAGTACAGATATCAGATATGTCTCTGGTACTGATAATTGTGTCGCTGATGCCTTGTCTCGGGTAAACAATATCAACCTCACTACCCCAGATTTCTCTGAAACTGCAAAAGCTCAATTGCATGATGAGGAACTCAAGAACCTAATCTCAAATCCACAAACCTCCCTTCAGTTACAACCGCTGCACATTGATCGAACGCTTAAAATTTACTGTGACATAAAGAACAATAGAATACGTCCCTATATTCCAGTCAATTTTAGACGTGAAGTGTTTAATGCCTTGCACAATTTGGCACATCCTGGAATCCGTGCCACCAAAAAGCTGATCGCAGACAGATTTGTCTGGCCAGCAATGAATCAAGACATCACAGAATGGACTCGTTCATGTATTAGATGTCAACGGTGTAAAGTGTCCCGTCACACTCACAGCCCCATTCAACAATTTAACCTTCCAGCAAGACGCTTTGATCATGTGCACTTAGACTTGGTTGGCCCATTGCCTCCTTCAAATGGTTACACTTACCTCCTCACTTGTATTGATCGGTACACAAGATGGCCTGAAGCCATTCCTATTGAAAATATATCCGCTGAAACTGTAGTTCGAGCATTCATCTCCCAGTGGCTTTCAAGATTTGGCATGCCTACCACCATCACTACTGACCAAGGCCGACAATTTCAATGTCACTTGTTCGCATCCCTCACCTCTCTTCTTGGCAATCGCCATATTTGCACAACACCATACCATCCATTTGGAAATGGGATGGTGGAACGCTTTCACCGATCTCTCAAACAGGTCTGAAGTGCCACAGAAGCACACACTGGACAGAAGCCTTACCCTAGTCTTGCTTGGTCTTCGCACAGCATTCAAAAGAAGACATTGGTAGCAC